TTCCTTCCCTTTTGACTGTTGATCACAGTGTACTTTGAAAACATGGTGGTAAAAGTCGTTTGCTAAGGATGGCAAGATAGGGAGACAGAGCAACATTGCGGAGTCCTGCATGAACGTGGACTGTTTATCTCTGGGCATTGTGAAGTAAAAACCATACCGTACAACACTGATACATTGTATGGGGTTCTGACAGACACAGATGGTGTTCCAAAAGGCTTTTACAATAATAGAATGAAGAGAAAGTGGCAGTACCAAGGGTTAAGGGGACTATATCAGTCAGGATTTTTCCAGAGAAACAGTCAATATAAGATTTTCAGAAGGGTTTGTTGTGATGAATTGGCTCATGGAATTATGGATGCCAAAAAAATCCAAAATTTACCAGGTTGATGTCCCAGTCCTTGATGTGGGGTCAAGAAGAGCTGATGTTTTAGTTTGAAGGCTGTCAAGTAGAGGAATTATCTTTTACTTAGCAGTGGGGGGTTAGTTTTTGGTTGAGGCCCACCAATATTATGGGGCATGGTCTGCTTTACTCAGTCCACTGATTTGAATGTTAGTCTCATCTAGAACATCCTCACAGAAACATCCAGAAACATGTTTCATGAAATATCTAAGGCACCCTGTGGCCCAGTGAAGTTGGATAGGTATAATTATGCATCGTAAGTTCTAACAAGAGACTTTCAGGGACTAGAAATGGTGGGACATCTAAAGGTATAGGAAGAAAAGGAAGAAGAACGGGTTCAGTGAAGCTACCAGAGCTTGAACTAGAGAAGAGGAATGACCGGGAACTGGTGGCTATACAGGAAGGAAACTGGAAGACCTATGGCTAGCGACCTATGCAAGACCATGCAAGTGAGGGACATTGTGGAAAACAAATATGTGATCCCCCTTTGCCTAAGCCAGAGAGCAGAAGAACTTGAATGATGCTGTCCATGTAAATTGACCTTGAGATTAACCAGTACACTCTAATCATTTAAACCATTTTGCAAACAGACTCTTCATTAGGTTATTTTCTCAAAGCAAGTGTAATGTAACTAAGTCATGCAATCAAATACAAACTTGATATAGAAGGTACAAACAATGGATTTTCATTTATGGATTTTAATTCTTTGATTGGAAGAATACAGTGAATAATGGTTTTATGTTTTGCCCAATTAAAATACACAGTGCACTTACCAGGAACATTTGGTTTACTTTATTATTTACTTATCAAATAGTTTTATCTCTTAATAAATACCCTCAGTGGGATGACAGTAGTATAGGAAAATAAGCTATATTATTTTAGAAAATGGAAAATCAGTATATCCACATTCTTGCTAGTGAAATATTGAACAAATATTTGGATATTTACTTTAAGAGAATTCAAATTACTAGCCTTGTTCTGAAACTGGGTTTAAAGTTCTAGTTAAAGCCAGCATTAGAGATTGAAGCATTTCTAACATTGGAAGACTGTTTGGTCTGTGGCTGGGTGTCCTTAGTTCCAGCTTTGATGGTGCTTCCTGGAGCTGACTGGAGTAGAGATTTGGTTAATGTATTTTGTAGAAATCAATACATGAGGCAGTATCTGGGTCTTCGGGACTCTGGCTGCCTCCCGTGGGCTTTGCAGTTTGGACAAGGAAGGAGAAGAAAGCAGGTCTGGTTTTCTTAATGCTGGCCATTCTGCCCAAGAAAAAGAGAGACTGTTCTTCATGAGACCACCAAGTGGTTTTCTCTGATGAATGGGTAAAAACATACTGTCAGTCATTGACTCACAGTTCACACTTGGAAACAGGCATGGCTCAGTGTTTCTCCAGCTTTGCTATGGCTAATGCTGGTTAAATGGTCTTTAAACATGTGGGTGGGGCAGTCAAGAATGCAAATGAGTGAATATCTGAATAAAGGAAAAATAACTGCATTGATTAAGACTTGGCAGCACTGTGTATGTATGTTGTTAAGAGAAATTGATTCATAACAACGGTGGCCATTTCCCAGAGTCCAAAAGATTTAGTAGAGATGCAGGAATCGTACAATGTATGATAGTCTCCTAGGTCGGCTGGAATGGATGTTGGAGTGCTTTAAAAGGCTTTAAATGTACTTAGTAACACATCAGTTTTTCCATTTGTTTATTTTGAGACACGGTCTGGCCTCAAACAAGTGGTAATCCTCTGTTAGCCTTAACTTATATGGTCTTACAGGAGACCCAAATGCTGAGGAACCTGGGTTTTGTTAACACACCATGATACTGACACAGGTCTAGATGCTGAAGTTTCATATTTTGTCAAGGATATCACTTGGGGATCCTTAGAGTCTGCATAGTTTCCAGTGAAATAGGTGGTAGGCAGTGGTCTATGGAGAGCAATAGAATTAACTATGGAATTCTGGTGATTTTAGTTATTGAAAAATTTATGTATCACTGGAAAAATTTTTCCAAGTTGTACATTCCTTTTTACTTTGCTGTATTTTTTTAAATTTAAAAATAAATTTTATGGGTATGAATGTATTACCTGCATGTATGTAAGTGAACACTTGTTATATGATACCTGAGGAGGTCAGAAGAGGGCTCCCCCGGAAGTGGAGTTATTGATAGTTGCTACCCACCATGTGGATGCTGGGATTCGAACCAGGTCCTCTGCAAGAGCAGCTGGTGCTCTTAACCACTGAGACATCTCTCCAGCCCTAACTTTTCCTGGTGTGCATGTGGTCAGAGGACAACTTATAGGAATAGGTTCTTTCCTTCCACCACATGGGTTCCAGGGATCCAATTCAGATTATCAGGCTTGGTAGCAACTGCCCTTCCCCACTGAGCCATTTGTTGGCCCTTGCTTTTGATTTGATAGAATAAAAATCTAGAATTGTCTGAAAGTATATGAAAAGAATGATTTTGTGCTAAATACAATGAATTTCTGGTTGCTATTACATGCATGCTGTTACGTACAAGGCCTATGTATCTCATCACCGCCTCAAAATTAAATTGACACGTAGACTTGAAAAGCATATTGATTTTTTTGTGTGTAATCTCTTGAGAATAGAAGGTAGAAAAAATATATTCATAATGCCCAATAAATTGTCTTACAAATGTTTTTCCCATGTTTTGGTTACCAATTGAAGTCTAGCAAACTAACCTAAACCAATGGCTGTAAACACCAATGACTGGCTCTTATCTCTTGAAGTTCTGTGGGTTGATGAGATCAGTTGGGTGGTTCTGTCTTGTGATGCTAAGTGGGGCTGTAGTCATTTGGTGGTTCATTTACAAGGTTGGCTGATGGTGCTGACTGACAGGTGCAATTATCAGAATCATTTTTCTTAAAAATATTTTATTATTTTTATTTTATGTGTATGAGTGTATTGCCTGCATGTATGTGAGTGTACCTGTGTCGTGCAATGTTGCGGAGGTCAGAAGATGGCTTCGGATTCCCCTGTAACTGGAGTCAAGGATGGTTTGTGGCCGTCATGTGGGTACTGGGAATCGAACCCGGGTTCTCTGCAAGAGCAGCCAGTGCTCTTAACTGCTGAGCCCCAGGTCTCCAGCCCCAGGTCTCAACTTTTCTTTCCGTGACCTCTAAGCAGGTTATGCTTCTCACATCATGGTTGTTGAGTCCTAAGTGAGAGTGTTAAAGCTTGTGGAAGAGACCACTTTAAATCTCTTAGGCTCAGCCTCAGAAAAAGCATAGCATCATTTCCTTCACACTCTATTTCAAAGCAACTCATAAGGCTGTCCTAGGTCCAGAGGAGTTGAAGGAGACATTTGGTTATGATGTGGATGGGACCCTCTTACATTTGTATTAGACCCAGTATGATAATAGTGAGTAGTGAGGAGTTTTACAAGGTGATTGAATCATGGGGGTGGGGCTTGATGAGATTATTGCCCTTATGAAAGGTTGAAGGAAGAGCCCTGGTCCCTTATTCCCTTAGAGCGTGTGAGGATACAGCAGGATAATGCTGCCTATGAGAATCAGACCTTACCACATGTAAAAGTACTGGCACCTTGATCGTGAACTTCCAGGCCTTCCTAACTATGAGAAATAAATTTCTCTTGTTTATAAATTACCTATCTTAAGGTATTTGGTTACCACAACAGGAATAAACAGAGACCCTTCCTTTGCGTTTTATGCCTCCTGGCTAGTCATTTTAGTTTATGCAATGCTTCTTTCATACTCATCTTGAAATGACATATTGTTAATTTATTAAGATTTTTGTTTGTGTTTTAGGTAAAGTCTCACTATATAGCCCAAGCTGACCTGGAGATCTCAATCCCCTGCCTCAGTTTTCCTAGTGCTAGGATATTAAGCATACATTCCCATACCTGGATATAAGGGTTTTTAATAACAATGGTTTTTAGTGGTAACAAATAGGATTGGAGAGTAGATAATTACTTTTATTCCTAATATCTATGTATGTATGAGGCACAGCATCTTGGGAATTAATTCTGGTTTTGAGTGCATACTAGTCAATTCTAAGCATGCGACATAAGTGAGGGGTTAACAGAGAAGGTGAATGAAGGTTGATTAAGCCTGAAGATTACATAAGGTTCATCCTAGCTCAGTAGTAATGTTTATTGGGCACCATGTTCTTTTGAAGACAAACGTTGCTGGTCCTAGAGAAATCTGAGAGTTCAGTTCTGGATTTGAAACTCCTTGGTAGATTCCTTGGAGAAGGTAGGCTCTGACAACAATAAACTAAGCACTGAGTCTCCCTTCAGTATTGCCCTTAGAACAACGAAAGTTGCAAACCTCATTGTTTAAATAAAAACATGTTTAAATATTTAAAAATAATAGCCCAAGTCATTAATCCATTAAAATATCTTTCTTGTTCTATAGCAATAGTCAGTTTTCATCGTGAAATTGACTGGGTTTAGAATCACCATGGAAACGCATCTCTAGGTGTGTTTTTGAGGGCATTTTCAGAAAGGTTTAATGGAAGAGGGAAGACTCATCTTGACTATGGATGGGCCATCGCATGGATGGGGTCCTGGACTGAGTAAAGAGGAGCTGTCACATTCATCTCTTTCTGTTCTCTGACTGCAGATGCGGTGTGACCAGCTGTTTCACAGCTCCTGCTGCCATAGCTTCCCCACCACGATAGACTGCACCTTCAAACAGTGAGCAAAAATAAATCCTTCTTTCCTTAATTTGCTTTTGTCAGGTGTTTTGTCACAGCAATAAGAAAAGTAACTCATACACCTACCTTGACAAATATCAAATTTGGAATTCTGACTTCTCAGAATTGTATAATAAAACAGTGCAGCTTATGGGAAACTGCCCAGCCCCTTTCTTCTCCCAACTCTGCTTCTCAGCACCCTCCTGTGACAACAGGGGTCTTTCCACACACATCAGAACACCTCAAATTACATTTTGAAGCTGTGTCCATAGTGCTTAAGTTCAACAATTCCTTAGCCTTTCCTATGGCCTATGAGGAACAAATGGCTTCAGCCACCTGCTTTCAGGAGGCACACCTTGGGAAGAGTTCCATTTTAACTATGGGTTGCTCTCTGGGATGTCTGGTGGAGAATTCCAGGGTCTCAGCTACCCAGTGCTGGGTCCGCAGGGAAAGACATAGACACCACAAAGCAACTTTGGCTCCACAAGCTTACTGTGCTGGGGGAAGGGCATGGCCAGAGGAGGGCTAGAGTGAACTGTCTGAAGACAGGGTCCCCTTGTCCAGGTCAATGGCAATCTTACCTTTAGCCATGGTTGTGTAGATGCTCAGTTTGATTTTCCTGCCCACAGGTTCAATAGCCAGTTTTCTATCTTGCACTTTTCCTGTTGCTGAGATACGAGATGGACATTCCTGAGGTTTGTGTACAAATGTAATGAGTGGAGCCAAGGCTGGCCATGGACTTATGCCAGAATGAATTATGGGGCAGTTCCAGATGGCTCAGTGTGGAGGCACTGGATGATGCAATGTAAGTTGATGGCCCTTGTCCAGTGACCTCATTTCTGGGCATGTGGTCACACTGGAATTTTAAGGATTCGGATTTGTTTTTTTAGAACAGTTCAGTAGTTAGAGAATACCTATGTTTCAAATATCTGTAAGAAATCCCAACTATTGCAGTGGTTTAGCAAATGTTTCAAGCAGCCCTCCTTGCCCAGAGATTGGATGTCTTAAGCTGTCTTTTGGTCTTGACTGGCTTCAGCTTCCTTTGCGTTGTTTTCTATGCATGAGCAATCATTTATTCCAGGGAGCTTCTGAGCCAATGGTCAGTGCAGGTTTGCATTCTAAAGTGCACCTTTTAAGTCAGTCTTCAAAATGATTCTACTCAATTTTTGTGGTTAAATTGTGATGAGAGTTTGCCTTGTCCTATGGTGTTGTACAATGTGAAAAAATGTCTGCTCACCCCACATAGGGAACCGATAACAGTCCAAAGCAGGATACCAGCAAGTCAACTTGCTGAACCAATGAGCTTCATTGGTGTTACTTACAGTGTATGGGTGAGGGGTTTCTTACAGGAGCAGAAATGACTCAAGGACAGTAGCATCGCCAGAAGCCTACCTCAGTGTGAGTGACAGTGCACAAAAGCCAGAAAGCTGGAGCTCACTGCACAACTTACAGTCAGTTCGACTGGTTGGAGAGTGTCTCTTTCAGGTGTTGCGGGTGGTCCATGCCACATCCAGTTGGCTTTGCTGGTCTGAGAGTTTTCTAGACAGTTTGGGACTGGTCTGAGAGTGTCTCTGAGCCAACCTAATTGCTTATAATATGCCTGGGGAGGGAGGGACCTGTTGTATCTGGTCAGTTTCAGGTATTTCTTAAAGCCTTTGAGTTGTTTACTTTCTGTGCTTATGGAGCTTCTCTTCAGGATGTTTTAGTTCCGTTTCGAACATCCTTAGTTCTAACAAGGTTCCCTGTAGGATGCAGTGTTTTATCTTAGAGGAGTGCTACACAGCCACTCCTAGAGTGAGTGCTCTAGGCTAAGACTGTATTGGTTCTGTCTGGATACATTGACGCTGAGGAGTATCCCTAAGCAGCAGAAACTGCCTGAAAGGCCTTGTCAATGCCAGGGAGACCATGTGCCTTTAGAGGAAGAGAAGGTAAAGTGCTTTGACCTCTGAGGTTAACTACCACTCAGTATTTTCTTAAGGTCAGAGACTCACTTCTGCCTCTTTTAACCTGCCCATAGCCATTTTGAGTGAAAGTACAAATGCAGATTAAGTGAGCCATTCTAAAGGTTGTGACAGCACACTTCAGGGGTGTCTGCCCCTCTGACTATCTTGGGATATTTATCACTTTACTTTTGTGATGCCTATATATTGTGGTCAGTAAAACCTGGGATGGTTCAACACAGACTTATCTCTGGTTTTAACTGATCTGCTTTGTGATCTCAAGGACTTTGATGATATCTGGGTTTGTAGAGAAAGACATTTTAGGGCTGGAGGTAAGGATGACAGTACAGTTCCATATGCAAATGATCCTGTGAGTGCATACGTGCACACACAAAATGCATGCCTGCCATGTGGTTGCTCCTGGAGTCAGTCATGGAAATTCAGAGTGAGGGCTGAGGGAGGGAACAGAATGTTGAGAAATAGAAAGGTTTTCAACATAGGGAAGGATGGGTTGTACACAGCAGTTTCCCGACCATTCCCTGGGGAAATTAAAACCCAACAGAAGAGTCACAACATAGTCTTCTTAGTTTTCTAAGTTTTTTGTCCTTCCTTTAGACATGAAAAAGTAGAAAAGAAACAATAATTTTTTTAATTTTGCAATTGACAGCTCCTAAATAATCAGGGAGTAGTAGGAAAAACATGCGTTCATTATTGTTGAAAGTGGTAAACTTGTTCTGGTTGAAAATATCCTCCAGTTAGCAAGAAATGGCACTGGAAGATGTCTTGACCATTTGGTTACCTCAGTAGGCAATAAGCAGATTTTGGAAAGCTTTCTTAGGAGAAGACACGTAAATTCACTTGCCCTTGTGTGTTACAGAGGATTACATTTTTCACATTACATGGACTGAAACAGTATAAATTACTCTGTTCAGGATTTCAAGTAGAGTACTTGGGATGGGGACAAGCTGGTCTGGGCATGATATTTTTAGGGAAATTTTTGAGTGGCTAGAGGCAAAGTCCTATGCATTTGGGGCCCTACAGAGAGTGAGGTGGAAGGAGTTCAAATGAAATTGAGGAAGGGGAGAACAAAATTTGACTTTGCACTTTGCCCAGAGAAACACTTAAGTATTTATTTACTGTATTTCACAAATTGGTATAAATGGCGTTTGCTAAGAATGGCAAGTCCTTTACAACTTTTTTTTTTACTTTGTTATTTTTTATTTTATGTGTATGAGTGTTATACTTGAATGTACATGAGTATACCCTTGTTATGCAGTGCCCGCAGAGGTCAGAAAAGGTTGTCAGATCCTCTGGAACTGGAGTTACAGGTGGTTGTTAGCTGCCATATGGGTTCTGGGATTCAAATCCGGGTCTCCTGCAAGAGCTGCCAGTGCTCTTAACTGCTGAACTATCTCTCCAGCCCATCCTTTACAACTATTTACTACCTTAGGCTTCAAGCTATGAGGTGGATGTGGATGAGCAAACTGAGGAAGGAAGATGTTACTTATTTAGATGTAAGCCCCATGCCAGATTCAATGAATTATTAAATTCATGTGTTGATGATATTTGGGCATGGGGCCTTTGGGAAGTAATGAGAACTACAGGAGTTCACCAGGGCAAGGTCCTAATGATGGTATTGGTAGCTTTATGAGGAGAGAGACCCAAGTTAACACACTTACTCTGACTCACTGTGTAATGTTCCTTTCAATGACTTGGATGCCTCTTGGCTGTTTTAAGCCTGTGTGTGTTCACTTATGCCGTTATCTAATCCTCATCTTCCTGTGCTAGGATAGCATTTTCTTTAGTGCTAACTCTTGTTCATTTCTCTGTAGAGTCCAACATGCTACTATCTTACTAGTTTCTAATCTATGAGAGGTGAAAAGACTTGTAGACTACCTTGTGATGCTTTGGTTTATAAAAGGTGTACATCTTGAAGCAAAATTATCCACTATTACAACTTAGTCACAGTTTATTGAGCACTTAGTGTCTGTTAGGCATTAGGTGAAATATTTTGTAAGGATTGTCTCCTTATCGTAAGCTTATGGAACAGCTACCACCTTATGGCATAACTGCTATTACATGCCTATTTTATATAAATGAGTATAAACTGAGGATTAAAGAAATAATCAGAAAATGGGAAGTATTAAAAACAGAAACAGAACATATAGAAAAGGGCAGAGCCAAGATTTAAGCAAGCCCTCCAACCACAGCATTAGAATTCTTGATTTGCTTCTGTTGCTATAGATGGAGGACTCGAAGTTCTCATGAGCAAGTACCACCAGTCACAAAGACAAAACTTTAATAAAGGGTAGCTGTTGGAGCTTTTCCACTATGTTTTCAATTATTATACCTTATTTTAGTTTTGTAATTTAGTTTGTTAAGCTTTTTAAAGTTAAAAGCATAGCTGGTATAGTGCTTGCCTCCAGTGCACAAAGCCCTGGGTTCAATCCCCAGGACCAAATAAAACTGGATGTGGTGGCACATGCTTGTAATGTCAGCACTTGGGAGGTGGAGGCAGGTGAATCAGAATGTTCAAGGTCATTCTCAACTAAGTAGTGAGTTGAGGTCAGGCCAACCTGGGATACATGAGACCTTGTCTAAACGTAATTAATATATGTTATATGAAATGCACAAAAATTCAGTAAAATAAAAAACCTATTATATATTACATATATAAAAAGAATAAGTGTACCTCAATAGTGCTTG